GCCCCTCCCCGCAGGCTGGAGGGGGGCCAAAAGGCCCAGGCTGGCTGTGGGGGAGGAGTGGGGGTGACAGGCTGAGGGTGTAGGGGTAGCAAGAGGCCTGGGCTGAGTGTGGGGGGAGTCAAGAGGCCCAGGCTGGCTGCTGGGGGAGGGAGGAGAGGACAGAGGCCTGGGCTCCACTCCCCAGTGTCTGGGGAAAGGAATGTGAGAAGCCAGGGCTGGTGTGGCACTCCATCCTCAATGGCTGTGGGGAGAGCCGGGCCTGCCTACCCCCATAGAGGGCGAGTGCAGTGAGCAGGGGGCACAGCCCCCTAGTTATTTATAATGAAAACAGAAATTACAGGACTAAAACAACAATCTTATTTGCATTTCCTTGCATTGTTGCTGATAATGATGATTGTTGGATTAATGGAATGGCTTGTTCATTATATTTTTATCAATTTCTATAGTTTCTTGAAAAATTAATAAAGAAAATATTTTAATAAATTAGCTAAGCATGCAGTCAGAAGACAGCTGCAGTCTCAGAACAAGCAAGGAGAGAGCTGTAATAAAATCACTTGCACACGATACGAACTTCCACACTTCACATGCCATACCAGATTCCTCTGGCATCAGGCCAGTCACGTGCCATCCCAGCACATGTTAGCAAAGGAGACACTGGCTGTGGGAGAGAGAAGGTAGGGGGGGGGGGTGGGAGAGAGAGAGAGAGAGAGAGAGAGAGAGAGAACAAACTGAATTCAGGGAAGTAATGTGATTCTGTACATTCATCACTGCGAAGAATATCACTGTAATATAATAGTTGCATAAAGCTGAAGTTTCTTGGATGCAGATTGAAAGCACTTTGCTCATGTGTGTTTCTGGGGATGGAGGCTTGGTTGCTACCATTTCTCACTGCTGCTAATGTTTGGCTGGGTGTGATAAGGGAGAATTGTCCAGCTATGCTGAAAGAAGGACAGGAGACAATGGCTATGGTTTAATTAGACTACAACATTTTTCTTAAATGTCTGGGAGTATCTGGCAGATAAAAATGCACCATACAGCTAGTTTCATAATAATTTCAACATATAATAATGTCAATATATCAGCCCTCCACTTTATCCATCCTACTCCCCACTGGTGTTCCCTGTAAGCTCAGGAGAAATTCAAATGCTGCCACAGTTAGATTTTTGTTTCTACTTGTGGTGCACATTCACACATGCCTCGGTACACATAGAATTATTCTGCACATGGATGGAAAAAATTTACACATAGATGGAAAAGATTAGATGTGATGAGGATCCCATTCAACCTGCTGCCGGGATCTCATCAAATGAGGGGTAAGGTGGGCTGTAATATGGGGAAGGAAGTTGGCTCCCTCCTTTACCAATCATAGGAAGCATGAAGCCCCAGCTGGCTCTCCTTTAATGAATATCTCCATTAAATCCTTATCAGTCTATTTTATCTGATCACTACCCCTTACTTACAGAGTACCTGTCCCACATTTACATGATGAGTTGCAACATCATAGCCTAACTTCTGTTTCATGTTCACCCAACTAAGCACCCCCAAGCCCATTGAGGGAAAGTGAAAAAAACCCGCTTTGCCTTGGCCAATCTAGCAGAGAGAGAAAAATTCCATCCCAGGCTCCTGAGAAAGGAGTGACTAGCACAATGCCTATAGTGGATCTTGACAAAACCTAGTATTTCTCACTTCCATGATTGGTGCTGCTGTGCCTGGTCCAGGTAAAAGAGGGCTTTTCCTGCACCAGAATGGGCCTACATTGTCCCTCTGCCCCTTCGGATCTCCTGCAGGGGATGTGTGTGTGGGGGGAAGGTAGCTTCTGCAAGCTGATCTAATCTGCAGCAGGTCACTCCTTAGCTAGCCCTTAAAAGAGCACACACCTTCTTCCAACAAGCCAGTCAATGGCCCCTACTGTTAAATGTGCGTTCAGTCTCCTCAGAATGTACGGTAGGTACTACCACAAGAAGTAGGAAGGACATCCCACAGGAAGTTAGAATCATAGAACCGCAAGAGTCATCTAGTGTAACCTCCTGCCAAGATGTCAGATGATGACCAAACTCTATAGCTGTCTTCACTGACAAGAGCTACTTGTGGCACCACACATACCAGTCCCAATGTGTCTCCAGAGGCAACATCCAGGGCACCAATCATTGCTGGTGCCATCAGAGCAAAAACCAGTGTGGTGTATCTGTCTGACCTGAATAAGAGCTATTCAGGAGCAATGGCTGGGCACTGCAAGGTGGGGGTGCTGCAAAGAGGCACTGATACTTTTCCTGCTTCCCTCCAATCTTCATCCATGCTTTGGCAGATGTCATGGCCACAAAAAATATCTGTTGCTGGCCACACAATTTGCTAACCATCCAAGACAGATGGCCATCCAGTTTCTACAACTTCCCAAAGCAGACTGTTCCATTGTCCTATGGTTCTTACAGTTAGAAAGCTTTTTCTGAGATTTAATCCCAGTCTGCTATGTAGGAGTATGAACCCATTGCCTACTGTCCTGCCCTCTAACAAAAGCAAACAACTTTTCTCCATCTTTTATTTTAATGGCAGCCTTTCAAGTATCTGAAGGCTGCTATCATGTCCTCTCGCCCACCCATTACCACCCCCTTTCCAAACTAAACATACACAGCACCTTCAGCCTTTGATCATCTTTGTTGCTCACCTCTGGATCCTTCCCATTCTCCATATTCCTTCTATGCATTCAGGGCCAGATTAGACCTTTAGAGGCCCTAAACACTGAAAAGATTATGGTTGCCCCCTCATATGTAAGTCAAAATAAAAACGATACCGTAAAATCTCTCTCTCTTTTTTTTATTTTTTTTGTGTGTGCCCCTGCTTCGCTGGTGCCCTAAGCATGTGCTTAGTCTGCCTATTGGGTATCCAGCCCTGTATGCATTGGTGACCAAAATTGGACACAGTACTCTAGCCGAGCCCTAACCAGCACTGTTAATTTACATTACTGCAAACCACAATGTACAGAGAAATTTCAGATTGGGACTGAAGGGCAGCAAAATGTCTAGTGCTAACCCTGCAAATAAGGTATCTTGTGCATATAGTTTTAGAAATTTCTTCTGAGTAGGATATCATGGGAGAAATTAAAATAGTGTGTAGCTTGATACCTTTCGGTACCACCAACTCATTCTTTTTCTCAAAGGACGATTCTATTTCTGCTTGAATACCCATAGCATTAGGCAGTTTGGGTACATCTACACAGCACTCTAAAATCAAAATAAGATAAGTAATTTGTGCTAGGAAAATTGCGTATCTTATTTCAAAACTATTTCGAAATAGTGAATTATTTTGAAATTTGGTGCTGTGTAGATGTGCCAAATTTAAAAATAAGCTATTTCAAGCCATCCCTTATCCCTTGTGCAAACGAGGTTTACTGGGATGGTAAATAGCACGCCCGTTATTTCAAAAAATATTTCAAAATAATGGTCGGCTTGTGTAGACATAGGGTAGCTATTTGGGATACCTCTGGTATCCCAACATAGATGTGCAGTGTAGACGTACCCTTTGTGATTTATCAGGCTGAAAGACCTAATCTCATTCAACTGATTCTACTCCGTGAACTGTCCCCCCTCCCCATTTTATAAGCAAATAAGCAAATGATTATTCACATTTGTGCTGGAAAGTTATGAACAAGAGAGTGCATTTAGCTCTCAGAGCCTCAATGACCATTGTGTCTATTTGTTATTTTTAAATGACTTATCTACGGTCTGATGCGGGGCTAGGGGTGGGAGGCGGGGAAGGATGTCCAGTATAAATAAAATAATGTAGACAGGACAATAAGCTTTACTCTTTTCTCCACTGAACTAAAAGTGAACCCAGGAATATACAGGGATCCATCTGTTCATGTTACATTGCAGGAGCGGGGCCTTAATACAGTCATTTCTTGATCATACACATTACATGAATGATGAAACTGCATTTCCATTAGACCAGAACACAATCACACCTCTGCTTCTGTTGTGTTTTCCCTTTCTCTTTCCTAATGTGACCCATATCCAGTTCCAGTTTCTCTTGTAGGTACCAGCAGACAGATGGAACTAGCTTGAATCCGTTATGGATGAAATGCTTTTCTCTACTGTCTCATTCCCTTCTATGCTTAAGTTAGCAGAACAACTGATCCTTCCCCAGGGAGCTACTGAACAGAAGAAATCAGTTTTAGCTTGCAGCTAGGGAGAACTGAGTGGATATTAGCAAAAACGTCCCAAATCTATGTTTGAGCACTGGAACAGGTTACTTAGGGAGGTTGAGGAGCTTCAGGGGTAGCCGAGTGTAGCCAGGCAGCCCCCCCATCTCAAACAATCTTGCTTGCCCTCTGAGATGTCTGTATACAGAGCAGAGAAGGAACAATAAGAAGATCAGCATAGCCATTAAGCTTTGATCTGCTTTGACCAGGATATGCAAGTTTCTGACTCTGAGTAACGATTAAGGAAATAAGCTAAGCTCGAGGCTGCAAGAAGTGTCAGGCTGGCACCTATGATGATTCGAACACACACAGTCCCTGGGAGAGGAATTTCCCACTGAGAAAACAATGTCCCGTACTTCCAATTTAATCATCTCAATTCTCTCTTACAAGTGTAAATTAAGTTCACAACTCCCTTGTAAGAACTGGTCTCACAGCAGACAGACCAGCATCAATTGGCATTACAGATAAGAAAGAGAAATACATGACCCCATGGGTATATAAGATGGGCCCAGCACACACTCACTTTGAGTGTCATTCTACCCTCTACCTGCTGGTCGGGTTAGGTGTTTGTCCTCCCGAGGTTCTATGGGGACGCCCACCTCGTATTTTCGTCTTTCCTAGGAATTGAGGGACCGGCCCTGGCCTGACATGCTGGAGTCGAGAGGCACAGAAGGGGGTAAAAATTGTACCTGGATGTGGTCCTCTGTCTTAAGTGTACACATAGAAAGAGTAAGCTGTTACTTGGTACCATTATTTCTATTTTTCTATCTTTATCTTCTTTGTAACCATTTTTAAGATCTATATTTTGCTAGTAGTTAAGAAATAGAACAATAGCCATTGCAACCATATGATTTATAAGCTTCCTCAAATAAACCTGTAACTGTTTAAGTTTTAACCTGACTCCTTCAGTTGCTGTAATAGAACCAAGCACAATTTAAAAGAACTTCAGCCGGTCAGAAAGGGACAGATATAGGGAGCCCTGACTGTTGGCTGACACCGAGTTAATCCGTTACAGAAAAAAAACAACAAATGGTCTGGTAGCACTTTATAGATCAGTGACTCCCAACCTTTTCCCCATGGTGGAACCCCTAAAATAATTTTTCATATCCTGATGAACCCCTACCTATGAAAATGTTTGCTTGGCCAGAAAAAGTTGACAGCAGGGAACGCAATTCAATTAGGCTACATCTACATTGGCATGATCTTGCGCAAATACTCTTTAACGCAAGAGGTCTTGCGTTAAAGTATTTGCATAAGAGATCGTCTTCACTGGCATGTGCCTTTACGCAAGAGATGTGCTTTTGCGCAAGAGCAGCTGTGTAGACACTCTCTTGCGCAAAAAAGCTCCAATGGCCATTTTAGTCATCGGGCTTTCTTGTGCAAGAAATTCACTTGACACTTGAGCTTGTTTCTTTTTGCACAAATGTTGAATTCTTGGCTGAATTTTTGACAAACACACTAGCAGTCCTTCTTCAGACAGCAGATGATTACTTTCTTTGCTTTTAATGTTTGTAAGACATGAGAAAGCTTGTTCACAGAGGTAAGAAGTTGAAAACTGGAGTAAGATGTTCACTGCTTTTGCTGATATCACAGGATACTCCCTTCTTATTGAAATCCAAAACACATCAAGTGGCATTTCACTGCATTTTATCTTCAAAGTTCGATCGCACTGTAGTTCAGTCAATTGTTGTTCTTGCAGACTGAGTAAATGTTGTGAGAACTCAACAAAAGGGTTCCTAACATAGTCATAAATTTCTGATGACAAAGAAGGAAAGTATTGGTCAAGCTTTTCTGTCAGTGATTCTAAATGACTGGTAATTAATGGGATGGCTTCTTTATAATCTGTCTGACTCTGAAACTGAAGTAGGAGTGGAAACATTTCAATATTTCCACTTGAAAGGTGTCTTTTCTAAACCTTGAGTTTATTCTTGAATGCAAGAAGTTCATCTGTGGAAGTTAGAATGTTTTCTTTTGGGCCCTGCATGGTGGTGTTCAAAGTGTTTAAGTGCTGATAAATATCTGCTAAGTAGGCTAGTTTCAGCAGCCATTTTGTATCTTCAAGAAAGTCAGAAAAACTGGCTTTATTATCTTTGAAGAAAAGCAGTAGTTCCTCTCACAGCTCAAATACCCTTGTTAAAACTTTCCTTCTTGAAAGCCATCTAACATCGGTGTGTAGAATGAGAGTCATATGGTCTTTTTGCATATTTTCACACAGCTTTGCAAACATGCGTGACTTAAGAGGGCGCTGCTTTATAAAATTGACCATGTTCACAGCTACATCAAGGACTTGTTTTAAATCTTCCCCAATAGTTTTTGAAATAAGAACTTCCTGGTGGAGGAAGCAGTGGGTCATTATGACATCAGGGTTTTTTTTCTTTGATGAGTGTAACAAAGCCTTTTATTGAGCCAACCATTGAGGGAACATCAGCAGTGCAAATTCCAATATACTGGCTCCATGACAAATCACAGGATTCCAGATAAGACGACAAGATGTTGAAAATGTCTTGACCTTTGGTCGTTTCTGGCAGCTCTTTACAACAACAAAATTTTTCCATTATTTCACCTTCATTTTCAAATCATACGAATGCCAACAGCTGAGCTTTACTTGTTGGGCTCGTCTACACTGGCCCCTTTTCCGGAAGGGGCATGTTAATTTCAACTATCGTAGTAGGGAAATCCGCGGGGGATTTAAATATCCCCCGCGGCATTTAAATAAAAATGTCCGCCGCTTTTTTCCGGCTTTTAGAAAAGCCGGAAAAGAGCGTCTACACTGGCCCCGATCCTCCGGAAAAAGCGCCCTTTTCCGGAGGCTCTTATTCCTACTTCGAAGTGGGAATAAGAGCCTCCGGAAAAGGGCGCTTTTTCCGGAGGATCGGGGCCAGTGTAGACGCTCTTTTCCGGCTTTTCTAAAAGCCGGAAAAAAGCGGCGGACATTTTTATTTAAATGCCGCGGGGGATATTTAAATCCCCCGCGGATTTCCCTACTACGATAGTTGAAATTAACATGCCCCTTCCGGAAAAGGGGCCAGTGTAGACGTAGCCGTTATGTCTGTTGACTCGTCGACTTGAGAACAAAGTTAGCATTTTTTAGTATTTCAGACAAGACATCTTCAATGTTGTGTGACATGTCTAATAATACTAATAGTATTATTAGAAACAGAAACTTTGTCAATTTCACTTTCAACCTCTTTGCCTATCATTGTACTCACTATTATTTTACAAGCAGGCATTATTAGGCTTTCAGCAAGTGTGACTATTTTTTGTGCAACTAACTCAGCTATTAAATAGCTTGCTTCTTGAGCCTTTTCACTGATCGTTACCTTCTTCTCAAAAACTTTACATTGTTTTCCTTGTGAATCCAAAAGTTGTTGAAGTAATCAACTGTTTTATTTGACAAGTGGCCGTGATTAGCAGTGAAGTGTCAATTTAACTTGGCTGGGGCCATAGCTATGTTAGTTAGTTCCCTCCCCTCCCCCCGCAAACAATGCACAATGAAACGGGGCAAATTTAGTCTCCAGTCTAGGTAAAACCCATGACCAAGTAACTGTCATTGTAAAGGCGAATTTTTTTTAATATCAGTCACTATTTGGAGAATGGGTACTTAACCACTGAAGGTGCTAACAGCCCCCACCCCCCATATCCTTCCTGTTTTAGGAATCTATCTATTGACTTTGATTTTTATCTGCTTAGGTTTAAGTACCCATTCTCCAGATACTTAATGATACTCTGTCTCCCACCTTCTTCCCTTCCTTTTTCTTTCTCTCCTCCTCCCCTTCCCCTCTCCTATTTATTTCAAGTTTTCATATCCCCAAGTCATAACTCCGATCATCTGAAGAAATGGGCTGTGCCCTCGAAAACTCATGATACCATCTACATGTTTTGTTAGTCTATAAAGTGCTACCAGGCCATTTGTTGTTTTTTTTAGGGATGTTGAATCACTGTTATTGGAGATTTTCTAAAATGGTTAGAAGAAACCCTTTCAGGGATAAGCTATGCATACTTAACTCTGCCTCAGCACAGAGGGATAGATTAGACAACCACTTGAAGTCCCTTCAAGACCCGCATTTCTATAGTTTGAGGAAATAAATTCTTAATTCATTCTTTCAGTTTCATGCTGATTTAACAGTTCTTTGGTTTGAATCTGAACGCGATACTAAGTAGGAGCATTAATAGTAGTTACGTTACTTTAACGTAATTTTTGGCTGTTGTTGTTATGGACTAATGTTGGATGTGCCACTGTGGCACCCAAGTTATTAATAAATATCTTATAAACCTTTACCTTTTCTCTCTGCTGACATGTCTCCTCCCCTGGTGCCTGCTTCCTCCCAACTCCTCACTCTCCTCTGCTGTACTGATTCCTGCCCTTCTCACTGCCCTCAGTCTTCCTGAGACCTGCCCCCCTCCACCAGCCCTTCTCTCCTCCCTGTGCCCACTCCTCCAGTAGCCCCACTCTGCTCATGTGAGCTACCCCTCCTCATCCCCTCTCTTAACACCTCCCTCTACACACCTGCCCTGCCTCTCTCCTCTGAGGCTGGTCTCTCCCCTGCAGATGCCTGCCCTTCTGCTTCACCCCCAGAATTCCCTGGCACCTGCACCTTCTCTTACTCCTGCACCCTCCTGGTACCTCCCCTTTCCCTCACTGCCCCTACCTCCTATGTCCTCTTTTTCCCTGATGCCCACCCTCTCACTACCCTCTGCCCCCGTTCCCCTCATACATGACTTGCTCCATCCCCACCTTCCTCATGCCCACCCCTTCTTTCAAGCCTTCTCCCAGCACCTCCCCCTCTCCCCTCTAGCCCCCAATGTCCTTACTCTCTCCTCTCCCAGCATCACTCTGTCCCCCCTCCTGCCTTTTTCCTCATTGTCTGTACTTGCCCCCCTGGCATTTGTGTCTCCTCTACCCTGTCCTTTTGGTGCCTTCACCTCTCCTCCCCCTCTGCACAAGCCCCTTCCTCTCCCAGCCCTTCCCCTTCCTCTACCTTCCACTTTGCGGGGCTGGAGTCTGCGCTCCGTCCCCGGACTCTGAACCCGCAACTCAGCCACATGGAGCAATGCAGCACCCAGCAGTTTTCAAATCCCGGGTCGTGACATTACGTCACGCCTGGGCGTCTCTCTGCCTACCGGTTTGAGCACGCCCACAGGGTAGCAGCAGCCAGCAAGGGGGAGCTCAGTGAAGGTTGCGCACGGCAGGGATGAGACAGGGATGGGGTTGAGGGAGAGACGCTCTGGGGCCAGGGTGGGAGGATGTGTGGGGGAGGCCGGGGCCTGCTCCAGCTCCAAATATTGGCGTAGCATGGGCACCACGAGCCCATACAACTCGCTGCCCATGCCTCTCCTGGCTAGCCAGCTCTCTCTCTCTTTCAGAGGGGGCGGGGGAGTGCCGGCTCCTCACGGAACCCCTAGTTTTACTTCACAGAACCCCAGGGTTCCCCAGAGCACCAATTGGGAAACACTGCATTAGAGAGAAAGACAGGAATAAAAATAAATGTGTTTAAATTATATACATTAATGAAAATAGTTTAAGTCTTTAGACTACAGTCTGTACTTACATCAATAAGCTGCTGTTGATCCTTCTCAGACATATTGGTCAGGCTATAATATTTCCCAGCAAGGTCTCCTTTCAGCCCAGCCAAAGCAGTGACCACAACATTTTCTACTTCTCTTCTCTCTGCCCTGGAGCAGGCTGGGGGGAGGCTGAGACCCCGGATACTACGACCAGTACGTACACGTGAGGATAGGACATAGTGTTCATCAAACTGACCTTGAGTAATCTAACCAAAAAAACAAAAACCGACACAGAGCCCCATTTTACATGAATTTTAAAATTTGCTTTTATACATAAGGGATGTCCTTTCATATGCTTTCTTCAGGCAAATAATCACAACTAATGGGCACTCAGAAATGCAACAAACAGGTGCATCAGCATGGCAGGTTCTAGCACTTTGCATGGAGAACCACAGTGCATTTGCTGACCCTTGGTAGCAGATAGACCAGGTGGGTCCTCTTTAACTCTATCCCAGGTAGATCACATTGTTTCAGTAGCTCCCCGAAAGACAAAGAACTAGGAACATAGACAGAAGTTGCTTAGAAACAGCCAAGCCTAAGCTGATGCTTATATTTGTTGTTAACTAAGATAACAATAAAGGAAACCCCAGGGAAGGGGTAAATTTAGATCCTGTTTAGTGTGTGTGCTTGTTCTAGGCTCTGTCCTGCAATACTCTGATGCAGCAAAACACTTAAGTGCCAGCGTAACTTGAATAGCCCCATAACACATTGCTAGATTGGGGTCAAAGTAGCAGTCAGACACTACAGTAGTAAGCCCAGTATAAATACCTACACTGAACCAAAGGGAAAAAGTGCTCAGCACTATGTAGCCTTCGGTTAGGAACAGGGCTGAAATGTTACCTGCTTAAATGTGTGGTCAGGGTGGGATTGAACACTGTGTGCAAAGATGCAGAAAAATTGAAGACATCCTAAACCAACCAACGGAACAGCAGAAAAAACAGCAGAGGTCAGTTCAATGGGGTCTTTCCGCAATTTATGAAGGAACAATAATAAACAGTAGCAAGCCCAGGCTACAGCCCAGCAGTAGCAGTGCTTCCAGAAAGGCATTTAAAGTCATCTCTGTCCATGTCCACATGGAGGGAGGGGAAGTGGAATACATACCAGCTCCTGACCAAACTCCTCAAAATGGATGCCTAGCTACCAAAGCATTTAAAATCACTTCTCTTGACTGGTTGAGGGCCAATAAGCTACAATTGTTTTCCACCCAGCCCCCCATAACTCCACTTCTAAAATTCATTTACTCTGGTCAGTACTAAAATCTTTAGCACATTGACATTTTAAAATTTGGGATCAGCATAAAAATAAATGGAATTTAAGGTTAAAAAACCCCCAAGGAATACTGTTCTGCCTGAACATCGAAGAAGGGAAGTGTCTCATAATATAAATCTAAAATGTCACATAGGGCCTTGCAGAAGACAAATTGGACAGAATCAGACATCATTTAATCTAATATTGTCCTTTTCTGATCGTGCCAAATTATATCTAAAATTTACTTGGGCAGGTGGAAGAAAGTGTTGATAAATTCTGCCATTGGGACATTACAGTTGTGTTAACTTTAATGTTATTTTCTTTGGAGATGAGAACATTTTTGAATGACGAAATACAATAAAGTTTAACGATAGGAATCTAAAGGATTAAGGATTCAAAATTTGGTCCTACCTTGGATGCATCCAGGTCCGTGTGATGCTTCATTACATATGGGTCATAGCCATTATGTCTCACTTTAATAACTGGATCAAAAATCTCAGCAAATACCTGTAGAATTAAAAGTATATTAATCAAGCATTCCTATTTTTAACACCATTTACCTTATCCATTGTCATCCATGGTTACCTAGCATGGATTTCTGTCATACTGCAGTAACTGGACAACAGAAAGGCTGATGAGGTTGGTATACTGAGAGGAGGTGGTCTTTTAGCTCAGTCAGGAATGTTCATGCTTTGAGGTCCAGGAGTCCTGGGTTCAGTTCCCAGTGATGAAAAGCTTTTTAAGGGTGTGTGTCACACTCTCAGATAACATCTCATAATTGTACACTCGTATTTCTTCATGAATTTTACGGCTTTGATAGCCAGATTGAGATTTTGAAGCCAAAAAGCTCTCAAAGATTATCAGAAGATACACGGGGCCTGATTCTCCATACACTTAAACTGAAATAAATCAGAACTCTCCTGAAGTCAGCAAAATTCCATTATCGTCCTTCCTCAAAGTCCAAGATATGTTCCAAAAAACTTGGATTTATAGCCAAACAGCTTAAAGAAGGGAATTTTTTTCCCGCAGCGGACTTCTATTTGCACAAATTGGGTGTGTGTGTTTTTGTGCGGCTTAAAAGCGGAGAATGAGAGGACTTAAAATGCATCTATTCCTACAAGCGTCAATGACTTTAGTGTAGAATGAATGTGTACCGGAGAGACTTATAGCGGTGACACCTTGTAGTCAAAATCAAGCTCTCACTTGTTTGCATTATAGTAGCACCTCGTAGTTCCAGTGAAGACTGAAGTCTTAGGCAACATACACAAACATATAAAGACAGAATCCCTGCTTCAAAGAGATCCCACTTTATTAAAGTCAGATAAAGGACGTGTGGTAAAACTGAGGCACAAAGTGATTTGCACAGTAGGTCAATGGCAGAGCTAGTAATGGAACCCACATGTTCTGAGTCCCAATCCAATCAAGGGTTCTATCCATGAACTTTCATTGCCTCTGTGACTTGTAGGGCTTTGATAACACATTCACCATATATCAAGAGTGAGATCAGCAGGACGGACAGAGGAGAACTTAACGAGGAGATGTGCTGGTAAATTAGGAGTGAAATAAGGGTGAATAGACTTGGCTCTCATCCTTTCTCTGATGGGATGGTTAACTTTAGCTGCAATATGTTCTCTCCCCCCTCCTTTGAGTAGAGAATTGGAGCTCTTTGGGGTTTTTTTGGTTTGTCTGGATGCAAAGAAATGATTTTTGTATAGTTTTGATATGGCATGTGTGCATATTGGTGATGGAGACTAAATGTACACTCTCTGCAGAGGAGGGTCAGTCACAGCTCCAAGCTCAGTGAAACAGAATCACCTGTATCATAACCCCACCTTTAGCAGCACAGCATATGGGGTGCTGGCTGTTGCTATATAGAGAACAAATTAAAAAAAAAAGTTAGTGAACTATAGGAAGGGGTCAAATATTCTGGAAAGGTATCAGAACTATAAGCCAGTTCTTTCCAATTCTTATTTTGGAAATTTAAAAACCGTCTTTATCTAACCTAATCTTATGCTGCTATTTTTGGTATTTGTCATGCTCCTAAAGCTCTATGACTAGCTGTCAAGCATCCCACATGTTTCAGAAGAAAATTTCTGCTTGCTTCTACCATGTTTATTTTTAACAATATAATTTCCACATCATTTCAGTTTGGTGACATGTCTCCACAGTCCTGCCACAAACTGAATTTAACAGCAGGAGTGAGTGCAGCTATTGCAAGCAAATAAAACATTATTCCTGTGAGCCCACACTCCATTACCCTTGATAACATCATAGATGGCTGTTTTAATGATGTTTCCTGTTTATTATACCTCCTGCTGAGAAAATACCAGTGTTACCCATATGGTTTGTGGTTATACACACTCTGGTGTGCTATTTACCTTAAATGTGCACTTCTCATGAAAGATCTGTGCTATCCTAACAAGCTCTCCTGAAGTATAATGTACAAGCTAAACATTATATAATAATAAAAATGCTTCACCTCATAAGACTCTTCATCACCAGCAACCATGCCCACAGTTTTAATGAAAGGATGGCCAGGATTGTCAACACCAGTTTGGATACACTGGTCCAACGTGTAACCATTTGGAGTCATCTTGTCCCTTAGTTTAGCATATATTGCTGGAGTGAGACAGTCAGCCATGCAGTTGTTATGTTTGCGGAGGTCAGGATAGTCTGCGCTGAGGAGTGAAAAAAGACAAATGCATTTAACAAGGTATCTTAATCTGTAAATCTTGGTTCTTTTTGCCAGGTTATGAACATGTCAGAGGGAGCAAGGACAGAAAAAGTGGTTATTTGGTCAACTTGTTTCCCTATTGTAAACCAGAATTATACTGCATAAGGAGGCTTGAGGTAAACAGCAGAGTTTAAAAGCACACTTGGTTCTTGGCTCAAGTATGACATTAAAATTTAGAAAGAAACAAAGGCATGCATACTCTTATCTACACCCCTCTCTCACCAATCTGCACTGGCTGCCAGTTATGTTAGCAGTTCATAACGATATTTGCGATGAAAACATGCACAGTTGGGAAGGACATGAACAATGTTCTGATTTAATTTGATTGTGGTTTTGATAAAACTTGAGGTACAAGTAAAGCTATTGGGCCAGATCCCCAGCTAGTATAAGTTAGTGTAACTCTGTGGACATCTGTGAGGCTACTCTGATTTATACAAGCAGAAAATCTAGCACTTGTATGATATTTATGAGTTGTTTAAATAATCTTATTAAAAAAAGTCACATGGCATTATGAGCTTTAGGTAATTATAATCTATAGGTAAGTATAGGCAAAGGAGTAAGAACATAAGAACAGCCACACTGGGTCAGACCAAGAGTCGATCTCTAGCCCAATATCCTGTCTTCCAACAGTGGCCAATGCCAGGTGCCCCACAGGAAATGAACAGAACAGGTACTCATCAAGTGATCCCTCCCTGTCACCCATTCCCAGCTTCTGACAATCAGAAGCTAGGCACACCCATTCCTATGCACTATGGCTAATAAGTATTGATAGATCTAACCTTCATGAATTTATCTAGTTCTTTTTTGAAGCCTGTTGAAGTCCTGGTCTTCACAACATCCTCTGGCAAGGAATTCCACAGGTTGACTGTGCATTGTGTGAAAAAATAATTCCTTTGGCTTGTTTGAAATCTGCTACCTATTAATTTCATTTTGTGATCCCTAGTCCTTGTGTTATAAGGAAAAGTTATTTACTTGTTCCTATTTATTTTCTCCACACCAGTCATGATTTTATAGACCTCTATCATATTCCCCCTTAGACTCCTCTTTTCTAAGATGAAAAGTTAGAAAACTGGCCAAAGTTGCTGGAGACTTACACCAACCTGACGGTGGAGGAGTTGCCAGAACTATCTTGGACCTTCTACCTGGATGATCTTGACAACCCACTACAGGACGAGGTAGAACCCAAGAGGGAAGTACGAAGTGGCCCATGGGCAGACAACAGTTTGCCTGCAGCACTGCCTGAAGCACAGGTCAGTGTGTTGTGGTCAGGATCCCTGCTTACCCAGTGGCAAATCCCACTGCCATTGTTAAAGCCCTGGGTTGGGGTGTTAGTGGGTGGGCCTATGCCTCCCTGCCACTCCAACCCTGGGTGGCAGTCTCCCCCTCTTGAGGCCAAGGATCTAGTGCTTATTGGCCATCTGCTGGAGGCAGGACACCTGAATCCTTTGTTGTTTGGCCCTGAAAAAAGGCCCAAATAATAGACTCTGCTGAGGGCCTGGGCTAACGCACTGCCTCTTGATGTTTGATCCTGAAAACAGGCCCAAGCTATAGATTCATTGCCATGTCCTGCCTGAGGGTCCGGGCTACTTAACTACATTTGCTGCTTGGTCCAGAACCCAGGGCCCACTATACAATGATTGCCCCACCCGTACTAAAGGTCAAGCCTACTGAACTGTGTTTGTTGCTCAGTCCCTGACTCCTGCCATGCTGCTAATTCCCCACAACATGCACCGCCCCAAAATGTAGCGAGGTGGTCTGGCCTCCCAAAGACCCAGAGTGGGAAGAACCCTACTACTGAACCACTATACCAGCACTACATCATTTGTACATTTTAAAAAAAACAAAAACAAAAACAAAAAACCACACACCTTCCCTTTGGTAGAGTTTACAATGATAGCTGCCTGAGCCAACAGTTAATCCTAGGAATTAGATGACTGATAAGTTTATGAGAACCAACCCAAACCCTTGCCTGAAATTTGAATCAAAACTGAACTTTATTTGGGGCTTGACAATCATGTATGTGGCTGGTGGTTTTTATTTTGTTTTACATTTTCACCCAGCCACACTTCTTGGTTTTGTTCATGCCATTTTGAATTTCTTTAAAACCAGGGTTACTAGAGAGAGATCCTGTTATCAGATTTCCAGCTTATTAGGATCCTCCCATCCTGAGCTCCTCCTTATATACGTGCGTAAGTGCCATATTTGGACCATGGTGACTTCAGCAGCTACATGGAGTGGGTGCTTCTCAGCTTAAGGTATGACCCAGAAAGCTTACCTTGGAGGAAAGAGTTTTCGTCTTTCATGAGATTCTGCTCTTACATTCTGATGATTCAATAGGTATCCAGTGGTTAAGGCCCCTGTGCTAACTGTTGCAAAGAGCACAGCAGTTCTCCGGCCGGCCAGGAGACGAGAAAATGCACTAGTCATTCTTCTTCTGCGTTAAGACTTCTAGAAGGCAAAACACTCTATATGAGAAACCATATTTGATGGGTCTTTTAACTTAAAACTCTATATACTGAATGCAGCAAATAAATCCTCACTTTCACAACAGGAACATATAGTAATTCAATAAAAAGGCATTTTTAAAATTATTCTTTATGTATATTGCAGTAGTGCCTAAAGGCAGGACTGGCAGCATTTACTTTATTTCTGTTTATAAACCTTTGAGTTTGACTTGAAAAACCATTGAATCTTTTAAGGGCAGTATTGAACACAACATTCTAAACCCGACACTTTCTCGTGCGTATTAACTGTTTTGAGGCTTTTAGGGTCATAATTCAATTCTGTAGTTGAATAGTTTGCTTTGTAGCAGTAATAAAGTTATATAGCAATATCTCATGACACTTGGGAAGATTATAATGTCCAAGTTAGACATAGCAGACAAAACATTGCAAATAATATGTAACCAAAACTGAGTTTGAAATATCAATGAGGTTTAGCTTCTGTTTGAAATTTTATTAAATATTATCATCATTTGTTACACTGTATAAACAGAGCTTTAAAATGTCTTGTGACAGATGACTTTGATACACAATATAAACCAGGCACTACGACATAGGTGCCTGTTTTCAGCAAAAACTGCTAAAGCCTAACCCTGCAATTTCTTACTCAGGTAAATATTCCCACAGAAATGACCAGGAAAATTAGAATTACCCAAATAACTACCATAAGGACGTGCACACTGGGGCTATGTCTAGACTGCAGGCTTCTTTCGAAAGATGCTCTTTCGAAAGCATCTTTCGAAAGAGCATCTTTCGAAAGATCGCGTCTAGACTGCAGGCGGATCTTTCGAAAGAAAAATCCGCTTTTTCGAAAGAGAGCACCCAGCGAGTCTGGATGCTCTCTTTCGAAGACGGCCTCTTTACATTGAAGAACGCCTTCCTTCGAAAGAAGAACTTTCGAAGGAAGGCGTTCTTCCTCGTGAAACGAGGTTTACCGCCATCGAAAGAAAAGCTGCGTTCTTTCGAAATAATTTCGAAAGAACGCGGCTTGAGTCTGGACGCAGGGGAAGTTTTTTCGGGAAAAGGCTACTTTTCCCGAAAAAACCCCTGAGTCTGGACACGGCCTGGGTCTGTAATGCTGACACACCCGTGTAACCAGAAACAGCTGAATTAAAATCAGTTTTCCCAAAATTATTTACAATTTGTTAGAAGTATTTCTTTTCAAGGACAGATGTTCATCTGACAAAATCCACAAACATCCTTCATAGTTTTACTTAAGAACTGCCAAATAAACCCCACAGCTGGATCCTGGATCCCAGTAGGACTGCTTTGCACTTCACTCATGGCATAAAGCAACCTTAAACCTGTCTTATCTGGTAAGTGCCTTGAAGCTGTTCTACTGAAACGGGATCAAAGGAAATCATAGATGATCTAAATCTCCTTATCCCCATATGTGTTAAGCCAACCACAGCTGGGTCAGATCCAAGGAAGTGCCTAGGTGCACTGTATAAATAGTTAACATATAAATTGGTAGTAACCAGTGAGCTGAGAGCTGAGAAGTCTTTTATCCTATGAAAGAAACAATTGGGAATTTTTTTTTCTCACCCTTACTTTTTCCTCTCATTTGATCTCCAGACAAGGCTATTTACAGAGGTTATTTATTCCTGGATTACAAAAGGAACTGTAAGAAATAAAGTAGACTTGTAAGTGATGCTTAACTTTCTCTCATCCTGAGATTTTGTGAGTTGTCTTAAGTTTTGTAAAAACAGCCCTGTGGCTAAACTAGGATAAAATGAATCTCAATTACTTAGCTGGCTCACATCCTTCATACCAACCTCCTTAGACACCTCAGAAGGTAGAGTGACTTGCTCAAGCCACACGATAAATCCACAGCAAAACCCACATTAGAACCCAGGATGAATTCCTGAGTCATACTTGGTCTAATTCCTCCAGAGTCTGCTGCCTCTCGAGCAATGAAGTCTTTTACGTCATCAAGAAAGGAACCCGCCTGAATCTCATTTGCATTTTCACTGATCTGACAGTTCAAAGAAGTCTTAAAGTCACAGGCTCTAGGCACTAGGGGCTATAGGCGTGGGGTGCAGCACCCCTATGTTTTACATGGGGCACTGTTGCTGCTCCGATCCCACTTCCAGCTGTGGCCCCAGCCTTGGCCTCTTACCCCTGACTGGATCCCCTCCTCCCAGAGACACAGTCCTGCTTTTGGCCTCAGCTCTGGGGGTGGGTTGGACAGGGATAAGTGGGCTGACTATCAGTATCTCCTCTATTAAAAATGTTCCAGCGCCACTGCTAAAAGTGAGTGCAAGTCTAATTTGGTCCCACTTCAAGGTCCCTTTGCACAGAAGGAGTGGTATAGCACAGCCTAAGTGTGAATGAGAATCAGGTCCAAAAGGCAGCACCTCAGTATACTTTTTAGAAGCTCACCCAGAGGTCTATTATTAATTGTGTCTCATCAAAAAGCTGAGAGTTGTACAAGATACAATGGTGGCACCAGAGGGCTGGCAATCTATAAGGCAGACTATGAACATGACATGTGCTATGCTACTCATAAGAGGGAAATAACATGAATAATATTTGCAATGGATTTATTTGTAATTGTGGGACTCAGAGAAGGTTGCAGGGTGAAATCCAGGCCTGGCAAAGCTCCCACCAACTTCAGGACAGGATTTCATTCCAAGAGTTTGGATGGATGAGAGTCTGACAAATCTGGCTTGGAGGGTGCTATGTCTCTATGAAGCAGGTTGGAAGGACAACAATCTTTCACAAATCTTCCTTATGTGCAATCCTTCCATTGCCCTTTCAGTATTCTCAAGGATGTATTTATTGGGTTTAATAATTTTTAATGCTTTTTTATTTCGGGGAGGTAAAGAGGTTCTCAAAACACCTCCGAACATCTTTTCTGTAAAAACAATGCTTTAATTTCTGAACACCACTCTGAAGTCCTAGAGTTAATCAGATCATGGTCAAGAACCTCGCTTCCCTTTCCATTCATGTCTAATGAACATTGTGACCTTGAATGCTTGTCATTTCACTGTGCTTGAAACTTTCCAGTAGATTTCACTATCTTTCTGTTTAGTTTTTGACTTTGCATGATTCTTGCATACTTCTTTACAGTTTTGAAGGCAGATTTTTTCTTATATCCTGTGTCTAGTTCTAATAGTTTGATACCAACTTCTTAGTAATTGCACACTTAGTAGAACCAAAGGCCTTTTATTTCTAATAAAAGTCTTTTCTGTCTTCTCTGCTTTCTAAGAACGCATATGATATACTGGCTGAAAAAATATTCAATATTTTGTTCATTGCTCAATGGTGAAAAATTGCCTCAAAACAAAGTACTGGTTAAGAGATGACATTTAAAAAGCATCATTTTGACATGATCAGTCATAAGGAACTGATCAGAGAGTAGTTATTAATGGCTCACCGTCATGAGGAAGGGCGTAACAAGTGGGGTTCCACAGGGGCTTATTTTGGGACCCATTCTGTTCAATATCTTCAACAAGGATTTAGATACAGGCAGTCCCCGACTTACGCGGATCTGACTTACAGGGTCCCTCCGCCTGTGTGGCTTTGCTCGGGTCTCCCTGGTCTGCTGGGGGGACTCCCCCCAGCACCCCAGGGAGACAGGAGCAAAGCCGCACGGGCAGCAGGGTCCCTTCACCTGTGCGGCTTTGCTCGGGTCTCCCTGGTGTGCGGAGGGGGACTCCCCCCAGCACTCCAGGGAGACAGGAGCAAAGCCGCACGGGCAGCAGGGTCCCTTCACCTGTGCGGCTTTGCTCGGGTCTCCCTGGTGTGCGGAGGGGGACTCCCCCCAGCACTCCAGGGAGACAGGAGCAAAGCCGCACGGGCAGCAGGGTCCCTCCGCCTGTGCGGCTTTGCTCGGGTCTCCCTGGTCTGCTGGGGGGGGGGGAGGGGGGGCCCCCCCCCGGCAGACCAGGCTTTTGTTGCGGGACGCCTCGGGTAGAGCAGCTGGGGTGCTGCCTGGTTGGTCCTGTGGGAACCTACTGGGCAGCGCCCCAGCTGTTCTGTCCCAGGCTCCAGATTCAGCAACTGTTGAAACTGATCAGGCTGATTCCAGGAAGCTGGGGGCAGAGCAACTCTGCCCCGGCTTTCCTGTAGTCAGCCCCTGGTCAGTTTCAGTGGCAGCAGCTGAATCTGGAGCCAGTTCCGACTTACATACAAATTCAACTTAAGAACAAACCTATAGTCCCTATATTGTACGTAACCCGGGGACTGCCTGTACTGGCATAAAGAGTACGCTTATTAAGTTTGCAAATGATACGAACCTGGGAGGGATTGCAAGTGCTTTGGAGGATAGTGTCATAATTCAAAATGATCTGGACAAACTGGAGAAATGTTCTGAAGTAAACAGGATGAAGTTTAACAGGGAGAAATACAAAGTACTCCACTTAGGATGGAACAATTAGTTTCATACATACAGAATGGGAAGAGACTGTCTAGAAAGGAATACTGCTGAAAGGAAGTTAGGGGTCATAGTGGATGACAAGTTAAATATGAATCAACAGTGTGACACTGTAGCAAAAAAAGCAAACATGATTCTGGGATGCATTAACAGAAGTGTTGTGAGCAAGACACAAGAAGTCATTCTTCTGCTCTACCCTGTGCTGATTAGACCTCAACTTGTATTGTGTCCAGTTCTGAGCACCACATTTCAAGAAAGATGTGGAAAAATTGGAGAAGGTCCAAAAGAGCTACAGAAATTATTAAAGATCTAGAGAACATGACCTATGAAGACTGAAAGAATTGTGCTTGTTTAGTTTAGAAAAGAGAAGACTGAGAGGGACATTATAGCAGTTTTCAAGTATCTAAAAGGGTGTTACAAGGAAGAGTAAGAAAAATTGTTCTCCTTGGCCTCTGAGGGTAGGACAAGAAGCAATGGGTTTAAATTTCAGCAAGGGAAGTTTGATGTTCCTTGTGTTGTAAGATGAGGGCCTGAAACATGAGCCCATGTATTACAGGGTTGCTAGGAGG